CCAGCCAGTGGCAGGTGGAGACTCTTTGTTCCAGGCCTTAAGATAATGAGGCAGGGTTTGTCCCAGCCTATCAGTCATTATACCTTAATGTGAAAAAGTACACCCACTCATTTTCCCTCAGATAGAAGCCAAGAAGCTGAATGAGTGGGAGGTTCTCATGAGTACTGGAGGGCCTAGAAAAGAAATCTTGCTGACATTAAGTGGTGGCAAGGGGCACATCCCTTTAAGACTCCCCAGAGGCTGGAGAGAGGACCTCTTCAAAGAGCAAAACCTCACAGAAGCTCAACTGAGGCCCCCAGGTCATCTGCTGGCCTCAGAGCTGGTCTGGAAGGTGGGTCGTGGGGCTCCCAGGACAGGGCTCCCCTCCACCCTCCAATCCCTGTCCCTGTATTGATGGCAGGGCCCCCCCTCACCGGCACTTGAAGTCGCAGGAGCCGGCGGCCAGGAGCACATTGTTGGGATGCCAGTCCAGGCTGAGGATGGTGGAGCGAATGGGCTTCTTGATGTGCTTGCAAACCCACCTGGACACGGCAGGCAAACAGGTAGGGAGGAGACAGGGACACACAGGTGGGCACCCGCCAACCAAGAGGCTCCAGGCTCCCACTGGGCCCTGCAGACCACAGAGGTCCCAGGAGGAAGGGGCCTGGGTCCAGGCTAGCAACGTGCCAGGTCCCACCCAGGGTGGGGACTCCACCCCTGGTCTTGTGACAACCCTGGGGCAGCTCAGTGAGAAGTCACGAGGCTGCTAACTGGTCAGGATGGGATTTGAACTCTCCAGCCTGACCTCCCGCCTGGCCTCTGCCCTCAGGGACCCCAGGAAGAAGATCATGATGTGCCTGGGAGCTTGTGAGTGGGCCCTGGAGTGCGATGGGCCGGGAGCCTTGGGCGAGTGATCTGCCTCAGGGCCTTTGCTCATCTGTAATGGGACTGCAGCAGACACCCAGTCCAGGGGGCTGATGGGAGTGGGTGGGTCAGTGCCAATACGTGTGCAGGACTTAGCGTGATGCCTGCAGAGGCGGCCCAGGTGCCGCCTGGGCCCTTATTACTGAGACAGAGCTGTGGGAGGGCAGGGGGCTGTGCAGAGAGCCTTTCGCCTCACCTCCAAGGGCCAGAGAGGACACACTTCCCCAAGGTCATGTGAACAGGGGTCCTGACTTCCCGTCCCATGCTTTCTGGGACCCTCTTGTCCCACCACCTGTTGGTCTGCAGCCCCAGGTCCCTCCCAGCCCACTCTGGCCCCGCCCAGGCACCCACCAGTCGTTTTCCTGCTCAAAATAGCAGATGGAGATGACACGGGAGCCACTGCCCACAGCAAACTTGTTCTCCTGGGGAGCCCAGCGCACACAGCGAGCAGCGCGGTTGATGCGCAGGATGACGAGCGTGGGCTTCCACGTGCGGCCTTTCAGCGTCCACACGTAGGCATTGCGGTCTGTGCCGCAGGTCACGATGCGGTTACTCTCAGGGGCCCAGTCGATGCCTGTGGGGTGGGAGGAGGCACTAGGCTGAAGCCATCCAAGCAGAGGTGGCTCTACAGTGTATGCATGGGGGGGCTTAGAGGCCACAACTGGGATGAAAGCTGCTCCAGGGGGTACTACTAGAGTTCACTGGGGGTGTTACAGCTCCCCCAACTATCAGCAGACATGCTGGAAGGCCAAGCCAAGAGACTGAAGAGAAATGGGTCCTTGGTAATGCTGAGCTGCTGGATCACACCTTTCCTGAAGCCCTTAAACTTCTGAGTTTTTCAGTAACATAAACCAATCAATGTAATCCCTTTATAACTTAAGCCAGCTTGAATCAGGATTCTGTTACTTGCAACCCAAACTATCCTACCTAACATAGTGAGCAGGTGGATGGCCCGGCCCTGCCCTGCCCACTGCGTTCTTTCAGGAAGATGACCCCAGCCAGCCCAACCCACCTGTCACCTGCCCGTTGTGCTCCTTGAGCTCGTGCACCTGGACCCACTTGTTCCCACTCTTCTCATAGATGTGCACCTCGTGGTTGTTGGGGCAGATGGCGATCTCTGCAGGAGAGACGGGCGGGCGTGGGGAGGAGGGATGCGTGCCCAGGCTCCCTCATGACTCCCCACCTTCTCAGGCCACCTGAGCAACACTTTGTCCTCTGCTAATGCACTCTCCTCTGCCTCAGGTCCTGCTGGGCCCCCCTTGGGACTCCTCCCCAGGGGCTGGCCACCCCTCATCTGCACCCCTCCAGCCCCAGTGTCCCCAAGGCAGTCTCGCAAACCTGCGGGAGCTCTCCCTGCCCCCTGCTCCGCCCCTGCTCCAGCCACGGTCTCCTTGCTGCTCCTGGTGACACCAGGCTCTGCCGCCGCGGGGCCGTTATACCCACCCTGGCCTTCACACGCTGGCTCCGTCACCTCCTTTGGGTCTCCATGCAAACGTCACCTCCCCTGAAAGCCCTTCCCTGGCCCCCTTTTCTAAACTAGTGCCTTGGCTCCATCACTTTCCCCTCACCCTTCATGTTTCCTCAGAGCTCATTTCACTGCAGGTTACATTTCCCATCCCCAAACCCTCCCGTAGCTGTGAGCAGAGGGCAGACCCGCTGTCGTGCCCACCCAGTCCTGGCACCCAGAGCAGTGCCTGGGGTAGGCAGGGCCGTGCTCTCGCCTCCAACCCTCAATGCCCGCTCGCCTGGCTGCCCTGCTTGCGTCCCTTCCCTCCTAACACTCAGGATCTCAGGATCGGGGGTGAAGCAGAGGGACAGCTTCCCACGTCATCCGATGGGGGGGGGCACTCACGGGTGCGGTCCTTGTTCCAGGCATGGCAGCTGATGGGCTCCACCAGGAAGCTGTGATAGGCCATGGCTGCTCGGCTCCTGTGCCCAAGACAGAGAGGGAAGCCAGGTCAGCCCCGCCCTGCCCCAGCCGGCCTTGCGGGAGGGCAGCAGGGGCCACCCTGGCCTCCCGACTCTGGCCTAGCACTTTGCTTCCCTCCTGGGGCCTCAGTTTCCCTCCTCATGAAACAGCAGCTCTCATGGGATGTGTCCGAGGCTCCAGGGTACAAAGACAAAGGATGGGGTGGGGAGTGGAGGCGGGGAATGGGGGTGTGCGCGAAGCCACTACCATGAGTGGGGTATGCTGGGACCCTGCCCCAGACAGGCCATCAGTCATCATCTGTACCTCAGTTTCCCCATAGGTGGAAACTCTCGCTCCCCAGGAGTGAGCCAGGCCTCCTGGCCTTTGCACATGCTGTTCCTTCCCTCTGCAGGGAAGGCCAAGCCTGACGTATCTTGGAGGCCAGTTCTGTCCACATTTCACACCAGCGTGCTAGTCTCTCTACACCACCAAATGTCCACCCCTGTTCTATGCAGCAAAGTCCTGCTCAACTGGAAAGACCCAAAGAGAGCATCACTTCCTCAAACCCATTGTCTCCCCACCTCAGCTTCCCAGTCATGGGTAGAGCCCAGCAGCACTGCCTACCAGCTGTGTGACCCCAGCGTATCACTCGCCCTCTCTGAACCTCAATTTCCACATCTGCCAAATGGGAACAGGAATCCGGTCCCCCGCTCGCCAAGGTGTTAAGAGGGTGAAATAAGAGGACCCACCACGCCTGGCACATAGTAGGTGATCATGAAATGGCAGTGCTTTGTCTAGAATGGATGTGCTGGCACCCGGCGTGCTTCACCTGTTTAGGGGTGGGCCTCCCGGCCGGACCAGGGACCAATCCAAAGGCACATGAGCCTCAGGTCTTCTCACTGGCTGTTCCCTCGGCCTTCGAAGCTCTTCCCCCAGATGCCTGCACAGCTCCCGCCCTCGCTGCTGCCATTCAAGTCTGTGTCCAAGGCCACCTTCTGAGCAAGGCTGCCTCCCACACCACCTCCACACTCCCTAGTCCCTAGTTTTCTCCAGGGGATAATCTTACTGAACACGAGTTACTTTGTGCTCATTCATCCTGCCCGTTTGTCTTTCTCCCCCTGCTGGAAAGTAACGAGCTTGATGGAGACACACATTTCTGACCATCTTGTTTACATTTCTATCCCTGGTGCCTAAATGCATGGCACATAGTAAGCACTCGATGAATATTTGATGAACACAATTGTTTACTGCCATTAGTGTCCAGCAGAGTAAGTTATTTTTTTAAATGTAAAAAAAAAAAAAAGCCACACCACATTCCCTGAATGCTACACTCACCAGCTCTAAGCCCTCCTGTATTCTCGACTTGAGCCCCAGATGACGGATGTGAGGGCTGCGGTTGGAGGGGAAGCCACCTGCCAGAGTCACGTGGCCCTGACGTGGGTGTTCCCAGGCCCTCGGTCACCTCCCCCACCTGACTGGCAGGTTTGTGGCCCGAGGCTGGGCCCCAGGAAGGCTGCTCCTCAGCCTGGATCTGAGCCCTGACCTCCCCGGAACCCTGGGGTCTCTCTCTGCCCCCAGGGGGGGTCTTGACCAAGACCCCTCTGGGAGGAACAGCACTGAGTTGGGACCCAGGCACGAGGGTCAGGCTGCAGTGCCGTCCATCATACTGCTGGGGACTCCGGGGCTCAGCGACCACAAATCTCGCTTTAATTTATAGCAGGAAGTCCTGGAAAGTTCCTAAAGCGGCACAGACCGCCGCGCATACGTGCATGGAGAGGGCAGGGACCACGACGCCTGTTTCTGCAGGCCTAGAGCAGGGCCCCGAGTGGGTCCCTGGGCAACATTTGCTGAGAAAGAAGATGGACACACACAGCCAGGCTGAGGCCACACACACTCACGCGTGGTCAGCCTTGCACGCGCGCACGCGCACGCACGCACTGCTCCTATACACACACACACACACACACGTCAGCCTTGCATGCACACACGAGCACACCGCTCCCACAGCAGCTGTCTCCCCAGCCTCTGTCTCCTTATAAGGCCTCTTTGTGTAAAGCAGAGGCCCCGGAAGTGGCCTCGGAGCCCAGGTCAGCAGGCCTGACAGGGTTTCCCCAGGCACTTCCGCTGCATCCGGGCTGGATGGGCGGGGGTCATCCACATCTCCACCGCAGAGAGGGAGCACCTAGGCCTGTCCACTAAGCTGTGCTGCTCTGTCTGCCCCCATTCCCCAAGGTCACAAACGGGGCAGGGGGCGGGGCAGGGTGGTGGTGGTTAAAGTCAGAAACTCACTTCCAAACGCCAGCTAGGTTCTTCTTGGCCCCTGACTCCACAGGAGGCCAACCACCCCCTCCCCTTCACCCCAGGCGGCCCAGCAGAAGCCCAGGGGGTCCCTGGACCCTAGACTCAGCCGGAGCAGAACCCAACTTCCCAGCTCCAACTGTCCCAGGCTCACTGTCTGGCCGGGCATCTCTGCCCCTTGCGAGCTCTTGGTGAGTGTCCAGACGTGTGGGCGGGGCTCTAACAGCCTGTCTAGGGACTTTTCAGAGTTCCAGGCTGTGAAAATGGAGACACTGGCTCTACAGCGGACCGCGGCCCCCACACTTGCCAATATCGCAGCTGAGAGGGCTTGGGGACCCTGCCCATTGTTTCCTGGGACCCAAAGGTTCTCAAGGGGGAGAGGGAGGGGCTAATAAAGATGGCCACAGCACAGTGGGACAGGCAGGTTCAGAGCACACCTATCAGCCGATCACACTTTAGCATAAATTCAGACAGAAATACTCCCTAGTCTACTGACCCACACTGTGAAGGGGGGAGGGGGTACGGGTGGAAGGGGTGGGAGAGAGGAAGACGTGTTTTCCCCTTTTCATAACTTTTTCATAACTTCTGCAAAGCGGTTGAAAGCAGCAGGGCCTCCCGAGGACTCCCTACCCCAACAGGTTACAAATGCGGAAGTGGCAGCCCAGGGAGGGGCGTGGCTTCTCCAGCCACTGCAGGCTTGGGGATCATGGGATCATTCCGTGTGGTCAGATCCAGGAAAACAGCCTTCACACCAGGCCACCCCGCCACAGGAACTATGACTTAATCATTCCCAGGGAAACCTCTACCCTACCGAGGGGCAGGAGGGGAGGGTGGGGTGGGCACTGCCCGAGTGTGGACAACGCAACAGCTCAGCGGTGTCTCCTGATGGAGACAAAGGCAGGCTGAGGCCATGGCCCCGGGAAACCCACCCACTCATCGCTGTGACCCTGTGAGTCAGCACTGTGGACCCATTTGATTGTCAAGGACAAAGAGAGAGGAAGGGGCCCTGAGGATGGCGTTGGGAATGGGAGTCCACGTCTAGAGCTCTGTGCCCCCATCACCCTGGAAAGAGAGTGAGGCTGGGGGAGCACGGGCCAAACCCCGACAGACTCCCCCAGCTGGCTCTGTCTCCCACCAGCCTGGAGCCGGGATCTCTCTGTGCTCCAGGTAGCTCTTCCCCCGTGTCTGGCACACAGTAGGTGCTCAGGATGAATGGACGGGGGATCACGCAGGGCTGGGAGAGCAGCATGATGGCTGGGAGGAGCTTTGGGTCTCCAAGGTGTGGCGTGGGTCTCCAGGCAGGGGGTGCCAAGGACCATGTACCGGGGTGTGGACATAAGCTGCACGGGGACAGGTATATTTGTTTTGTTCACAGATGAATCCCCAGTACCAATTAGAGTGCCTGGCACATAGTAGGTGCTCAATAAATATTTCTTGAATGTGGTTGCATGAATGAATCACATCCGTCTTATGGTATACTCCTTATAGACCAGCCCTATTATTTCACTGGTACATGTATGCAATCTGTAAATATTTACTGGGGAGTATGCGCTCAAGATTTTTTCCTGATAGCGTCAGTGATCCAAAAAACTTGGAAATCGTCAATCTAAAGGGTCCTCTCTGAGGATTCGGGGAGAAAACAGCTCCCTTCCAAAGCCAGGCAACCCAGGCGAAGCCCCCAGCTGCCCAGCCAACGGTCTCAGGCCTCCCATCTCTTTCTTACATGCTGGGTGCAAATTCTGACTCTCTCCATACTGACTGGGTGCCCTCTGCCAATGTTTCACCCACATCTCTATCCAGAAAAGTCTGGGGTTGGACGAGGCACCAGCTGTAGGTTCTTTCTTGCTTTCAGAGAAGCTTCGCCGGCCCAACCTTCTCTGAATCCAGAGGTTTGAATGCATTGGAGGCTAAACTAGGCAGGAGCTGCCTGGAGCAAGGATCTCTGCTCTGCAGGCACTCAGGGAAGTCCCCACCCAGCTCAGCCACTCCAGGGAGCTCATTTTGCACACATGCAGAGCTGTTACTCAACTTCCTGTTTTATGTGGAACAGCTCTCCTCACCCCAACAGACCAGCCAATCCTAGACCAGCTCCGCTCTTGAGGTCTTACAAACCAGGCAAAATCAAGTCAAGAAACACAAATGAAAATAATCATAAGGCACCATAAAGCATCAGCTAAAATAATCCAAACCAAACAAAACCTCAAAACACATAAAACTCAATGCTGGCAAGACTGTGGTGAAATTCTCATTTGTTGCTAATTTGTTCAGCCTTCCTGAAGGGCAATGTGGTAACACTCAATCCAACCAACTGGGTGGGAACAAACAGAAGAGAAGAACACAAACAGGAACTTAAAAATTGTTAACATTTTTGGTGGCATAAATTCATTTTGGTGCTAAAAAAATAGCCGACTTTTTTTTTAAAGCAAACATGTTCATAATAACCCTTTTTAAAATGGTGACAGGATAGAAAAATCCAGATGACTACAAATATGGAAAGAGAAATAGTGATATGAACATGTTGTTATAAAACCTATGTGGATAATATACAAACACTTATGTAATTAACTATGTAATTAATTAACTTACTTGGCTTTTTTTTTTTTTTTTTTGCCACTTGGCTGGGGGATCTTAGTTCCCCCACAGGGGATCCAACCAGTGCCCCCTGCAGTGGAAGCACGGAGTCCTAACCACTGGACCAAATTGGCATCTTTAAATGCCCAGAATTTACCCAGGACTTTGACATACATTCTCTCTTTTACACACTAAAACAAGCCCAAGAAGTTGTCCAGTGTTTGTTTTAACCTTCATCTTGTACAGGAGGAAACAGACTCAGACAAAAGCCAAACTTTGCTCAAAGTCACCCCACTCCTAAATGGCAGTTTGGGATTCTGACCCCAATCTCAGAGTTTAGGTTCACCTGGACACTTTGATAAATGTAGGCAGGCCTTATAAATAACAGCAAGGACAATAACAGGGCATGTTTAGCCCCTGTGTGTGCCTTACACTCATGATCATATTTAAGCCTCACAACTTGAAAGTTCCCCATTTTCCAGATAAGCAAAGTTGAGGCCCAGAGAGGTTAGGTGGCTTGCAAGGTCGGTGGCCAGTGATGGAAGAAGCTGGCGCTCTTACCAGTTTCTGGTCCCGGAGACCTCGCCGGCGGGGGTGCTCTTAACCACCGAGCAACACTGCCCGCCAGGCGGGAGGGGCCGGGGGACAGCCTGGAATAACCTGAGAGCCTCGGCGTCCGCACCAGGCTAGCTCCTGCGGCTTCACGCCAGTCACTACTGTGTCACTGTCACCGCCCGAGGTCCCGGCCCTGGCCGCGGTCCCCACGCCGCCGGCAACGGGGGGCGCCGCTCGGAACGCTCCGGTCTAGCGCCCGGGAGCTCAGGAGGGAGCGTTCCAGACCCGGCCCGCCCCGCCCTGGACCGGACCCCTAGGACCTGGCCCAGCTGGCGGGAGGGGGGCTGAGGGAGGGGGCGGTGGCCGGCAGGGAGGGAGGGAGGGGAGGGGCGAGGCGAGGCGGGCGGGGGCGCCAGCTCATTTCCCGGCTGGAGCAATCCCTCGCCCGGAGGAGGCCGCCCGCCCGCAGCCCGTGCCCCGCGTGTCCCCTCACCTCCAGGCGGGCCCCGTGTGGCCCTTCTCATCCCCGATCTTCCGGCGGCCCCTCGTTGCGTCCTCCCCACCTGCATGAGGTCGCTCCCCGCTCTCCCCACGCCCACCCCCCCTCCGGGCAGCTCCCGCGCCCCCTCACCTCGGGGCGCCGCGGCCGCGGACTCTGGGCAGTCGACGCGCCGAACCGGCTCTGGGCCCCGCGCAGCTCTGCCACTTCCTCGTGGGCGGGGGGCGGGGCCTCCCGGCTCAGCCCCGCGGGGACCGGGCGGGACCCGGGCGGGACCCGGGCGGGCGGCTAGCGGTTGGAGAGCCCTGGTACCGCCCACCCCCCGGGGCTCGGGCCGAGCTGACCCGGGGCGCCCTGAAGGCGTCCGCCTCTGATCCTGGCGGGCGGGGAGACTGAGGCTCGGCAAGGGGGACACCGCCCGGGCGGGAACCCGAGCCCTGCAGCGCGCACGGCCCCCACCCCCGCGAGCGGCCGTGGGGAGCGCCGGTGACCCAGCAGCTTAGCTGCCTCTCCCGGCCTCGGGCCCCGGCCGCGCGGGGACCACCCCTCCATTCGCGAGCGATGCCCGCTGGGCGCCGAATGTGCGGGGTGTGGGCAGTCAGGGGAGCCGAGACGGTCCGCCCGCCGCCGGGGTCCTCGCTTCAAAACGGGGCCGCCAACCCCTGGCTGGTACAGTTCCTTCTCAGTGCGGACTTCCTGCCCCTCTTTCCACCGCAGACCGCTTCCCACCCTTAAGTTACCCAGCGGCCTGGCAGCCGCCTGTATGTGGGTCTTGGGCCAGGTAGGCCCGGCGGTCTCTCCATCCCTGCCTTCTGCCTCGCCAATGGAGATGTGGCCAGGTGGTCCCTCCCGCTACGATTCAGCTCAGCTGGTCAGCCAGGCACTAAGCAGCATCACGGATGGGCGTGGGGTCTTCGTGGGTCTCAGGAGGTCCGGGGCCAGGCACCCACCCTGTCAGGTCTCCCCGCTTTGAGCCATGCTGTTCTTTCTGTCTGGAACACTTGCCCCACCCTGTCCCCACCTGGCCCACTTCCCTTTATCCTGCAGGACATGAGTGAGTGTCTCTTAGGTCACTCTGTCCCTGACCCCCTCCTCAACAGGATCCTGTGCTCACCAGTCCTGGCTCCCATTACACAATTCCACACCTGCAGGCAGCTGGGAGAATGAAAGGTGTCCAAAGGTGAGGAGCACTTTGAGGTGAGCACACAGGGTGCTTGGGAAACTTCAGCTTCGATTAGTAGGACCCTAGCCTTCCTGGCTCTGAGGAGACACTGAGTGGCTGTCAGCAGGGCCCCCCATCCAGCCTTGGCAAATCCAAGTGATGGCTTTAGTCAGAAAAAAGTTTCAGATGGTCTGTACTGGCCACCCCCATCCCGTAAGGGCAAGTGCAGTTTAATGCTGAGGTGACATTTGTGTCCCTGCCTTCCATTTACCCCTCCGCAGCTTTGCAGATGCTCAGGGAACCATCCCAGGTGGGACTGAGCCCCATCTCTGATGGTGGCCCCTGAGTGCTGTCACCCAATCAGCGTGTGGTCTCCCCGCCCCACCTCCTGGACTTGTGACCTGAGACGGTGGGTCAAAGCAAAGCCCAGGATTTCGGATGAAGATAGAGGGGAAAGCAGCGCCTTCTGGAATTTGAACACGAAACTGGAAGAGCCACAGGGAAGCCCGACAACCCAGGGGGTGGTGGGGGAGAGGGAGCGTGATGGAGAGAATCCCAGGAAATGACCAGAGCCCTGGTCAACCTCTGACTGGCAGCCTGAGCCCAACCTGCCTCCGGGGGTTTCTTCAGGTACGTGAGCCAAGGAATCTACTTTTTAAGTTGGTTTGAGTTGCTTTTCTGTTACTCATTCCTAAAAGCATCCTACAGCTCCCGCGCCCCCTCACCTCGGGGCGCCGCGGCCGCGGACTCTGGGCAGTCGACGCGCCGAACCGGCTCTGGGCCCCGCGCAGCTCTGCCACTTCCTCGTGGGCGGGGGGCGGGGCCTCCCGGCTCAGCCCCGCGGGGACCGGGCGGGACCCGGGCGGGACCCGGGCGGGCGGCTAGCGGTTGGAGAGCCCTGGTACCGCCCACCCCCCGGGGCTCGGGCCGAGCTGACCCGGGGCGCCCTGAAGGCGTCCGCCTCTGATCCTGGCGGGCGGGGAGACTGAGGCTCGGCAAGGGGGACACCGCCCGGGCGGGAACCCGAGCCCTGCAGCGCGCACGGCCCCCACCCCCGCGAGCGGCCGTGGGGAGCGCCGGTGACCCAGCAGCTTAGCTGCCTCTCCCGGCCTCGGGCCCCGGCCGCGCGGGGACCACCCCTCCATTCGCGAGCGATGCCCGCTGGGCGCCGAATGTGCGGGGTGTGGGCAGTCAGGGGAGCCGAGACGGTCCGCCCGCCGCCGGGGTCCTCGCTTCAAAACGGGGCCGCCAACCCCTGGCTGGTACAGTTCCTTCTCAGTGCGGACTTCCTGCCCCTCTTTCCACCGCAGACCGCTTCCCACCCTTAAGTTACCCAGCGGCCTGGCAGCCGCCTGTATGTGGGTCTTGGGCCAGGTAGGCCCGGCGGTCTCTCCATCCCTGCCTTCTGCCTCGCCAATGGAGATGTGGCCAGGTGGTCCCTCCCGCTACGATTCAGCTCAGCTGGTCAGCCAGGCACTAAGCAGCATCACGGATGGGCGTGGGGTCTTCGTGGGTCTCAGGAGGTCCGGGGCCAGGCACCCACCCTGTCAGGTCTCCCCGCTTTGAGCCATGCTGTTCTTTCTGTCTGGAACACTTGCCCCACCCTGTCCCCACCTGGCCCACTTCCCTTTATCCTGCAGGACATGAGTGAGTGTCTCTTAGGTCACTCTGTCCCTGACCCCCTCCTCAACAGGATCCTGTGCTCACCAGTCCTGGCTCCCATTACACAATTCCACACCTGCAGGCAGCTGGGAGAATGAAAGGTGTCCAAAGGTGAGGAGCACTTTGAGGTGAGCACACAGGGTGCTTGGGAAACTTCAGCTTCGATTAGTAGGACCCTAGCCTTCCTGGCTCTGAGGAGACACTGAGTGGCTGTCAGCAGGGCCCCCCATCCAGCCTTGGCAAATCCAAGTGATGGCTTTAGTCAGAAAAAAGTTTCAGATGGTCTGTACTGGCCACCCCCATCCCGTAAGGGCAAGTGCAGTTTAATGCTGAGGTGACATTTGTGTCCCTGCCTTCCATTTACCCCTCCGCAGCTTTGCAGATGCTCAGGGAACCATCCCAGGTGGGACTGAGCCCCATCTCTGATGGTGGCCCCTGAGTGCTGTCACCCAATCAGCGTGTGGTCTCCCCGCCCCACCTCCTGGACTTGTGACCTGAGACGGTGGGTCAAAGCAAAGCCCAGGATTTCGGATGAAGATAGAGGGGAAAGCAGCGCCTTCTGGAATTTGAACACGAAACTGGAAGAGCCACAGGGAAGCCCGACAACCCAGGGGGTGGTGGGGGAGAGGGAGCGTGATGGAGAGAATCCCAGGAAATGACCAGAGCCCTGGTCAACCTCTGACTGGCAGCCTGAGCCCAACCTGCCTCCGGGGGTTTCTTCAGGTACGTGAGCCAAGGAATCTACTTTTTAAGTTGGTTTGAGTTGCTTTTCTGTTACTCATTCCTAAAAGCATCCTAATAAATATGCACACCTGAGGACTCCCTCTTCCTCACGAAACTGAGCTAATTTGATAAGACTCAAGCTTAGTGCGAGCGGAAACCATATTTGTATTATTCACTCTGCTCTTCCCAGCGCCGAGATCAGTGCCTGGCAGCCAGAAGCACTCAGTATGTATTTGCTGAATGAATCAATGAATGAACAAACCAGTGGGGTTAGAAACTTGAACCCACTTAACCTGTAGTGTAACTTGAATCTTCTTGCAGTGCCTGGGTTTCTGTATCTGTAAAGTGAGGCTAATTCCTAACAAGCACTGCCCGGCCACCTCACAGGCCTGCAGTCACTGTGGGAAGACCCAGTAGATGGGAAACACACCTCAAGCTGGGAAGCGACAGGGGTGTTATTTGAAATGGCTCCCTTGGGGAACAGTCTTCTAAGCCTTAAGTGGAGCAAGTCCTTGGGTGAGGAGAACCTGGTGGTGGAAGAATTTCATATGGAGCTCAAAGAACAGCTCAGAGAGCTTTGTTTCTCCCTGGAATCTGCCTCCCCTGGTGCCCTGGGATGAAGGTCCTACACTCTACCTTCTTCCCCGCCTTCCCAGAATTCCCAGGAGGCAGCCACACACCCAGGCTGACTTCTCAGGGCTGGCTGACTTGAGGAGGGCCGTCAGTTGGGGTCTGGTGCAGCGTTTCAGGGCCATCAAGGTCCTCCCTGGCTCTCTGCTCCTTCCTCCTTGCTGCACTGGCCTTACTGCCTCCTGGTCACAAGATGGCAGCCTAGCTTCAGGCTTCTGGACTCAGGAGGTGGTGGGCTGGCCAAGGCAGCGGGAAACCAGGGAGGAAAACCTTCCAGAAGCACGCAGCGCTATCTCCTTCTGTCTCAGCCCCTGCCCACCCCCGAATGGGGACCATAGGTCTCCCCCGGAGATCGAAGAATTGACACCCGGTGCCAGGAGGGAAGAGGGGAGACCCTGGGCCTCCTTCCAAGGACACGCACACATGGAGGTCTGGAACACACACAGCACTCCTCAGCCGGGGCCTGCTCACACCCCTTCCAAGCCACATGGCTTAACTGAGAAACCGAGGTCTACCAGGAGACCCCACAGGTATCGCCGGGCGGTCCCCTCCTGGTTCCAATGACATCACCCTGCTTCTGAGTGTGGTGACAGAACTGGGCTGGGTCACTAGGCATCTCCCCTGCCTGTCACCACCCAGCAGGGAGCGTGCTTGGTGGTTACCCCTGGGGCTCTGGAGAGGCTGCCTTGATACAGGCTGCCCTCCCTCTCTGAACTTGAGTTTTGTCATCTCTAAGATGTGGCAGTCACAGTTCTAACCCTGCAGGGTTGCTGTGAGGAGTCCTGCATATCAGCTGCTTCCCTTGGTGCCCGGCACAGTGACCTTGTGTGCATGGCACACATTCTTGCTGTGTTGGATCCGCCCAACCTTCCTCATCAAGCTCCACTCAGGTGAGTGGCTCCTCTACCTTAGTAGCTTTCCAACTTTTTTTGACCATGACCCCCACAGACATATGTTGCGGCCTAGTCCACAGCCCCCTGTGTATCTGAAACAGAAGCACCATGAAGCAGAACTTACTACATGCAATGCAGAATGTTTTCTCCTCTAAGTACCAGCCGTGATTTTACAACCTACAAATGGGCTCTGACCCTCAGTTTGAAAAACTCAGCTCCAGACCATATTTCCTTTTTTTTTTTTCCCTGCCGTGCCAAGTGGCTTTTGGGAGCCTAGTTCCCTGACCAGGGATTGAACCCGTGCCCCCTGCAATGGAAGCACAGAGTCCTAACAACTGGACTGCCAGGGAAGTCCCTCCTCCCCTTTTCTGAATGGACCTAGTGGATTCATTTCCTGTTACTGCTGGAGCAACTCACCACAGAGCGGGTGGCTTGAGACAACACAAGTGTCTTCTCTTACAGCGCTGGGGTCAGATCTTCACAGCCCACATCAGTGGCTGGCGGGGTGCTGTTTCTTCTGGAGGCTCCAGGGGACAACCAGGTTCCTTCTTGCAGCTTTTAGAGGCCTTGGCCTTCTCCCACCCCAATCTGTGATTCTACCCGCTCATTTGCTCAGACTCTCCCCCGCCTGCCTCCCTCCTATAAGGATTCTTGTGATTACACTGGGCTCACCTGATAATCTAGGCTCAGCTTCCCCAGCTCAAGATCTTTAACTTAATCCCATCTGCAAAGCTCACAGGTTCTGGGGATTAGGACAGGGACATCTTTGGGGGGCCAGTAGTCTACCTACCATACCTAATATTTGAATTAGACACACACATAACTCACATAACTTTATAATGTATAGACCATCTGTATTATTCCACGTGGGGTAGCTTAATGGCCTCACCGACATCGCAGGCACCTGAGGGAACCCTAGGCCTTCGCATCACTGCCTCACTGGGCACACATGAGAACTAACCCACTTGCATGATTGGGTCAAACTGAAAGGGCCATGCCTAAGCAATTAATCTGGGTTCTGAGGCCAACCCCAGTTTTCTCAGCATATTCTAGAAAACAATTTTTTTGGTTAGCAGAATCCTTCATACACCAATTCCCACCCTACCCCACTCTGCTATTAAGGGTCTCTGGGGCCTAATATAGGGCCAATGCCAAGCCTGAAGGCAAACCTCGGCTTTACTGAATAACAGTAACTGCTAACCCTTTACTACTCCCATTTTATAGGTGAAGACAGTGAGGCTCAGAGATGTTAACTATGTTGCTCAAGGCTACGCAGCTTGGCAGAACTATGACCTGACACCAAAGCCTCCAATCAAAGGGCTTTGGCCACTGTCCCTCCAAATCGGTAGCGATTGTGGACCGAGGACTGCTCGGTGTCTCACAAGCAGGGCGAGATGAGAAGGGAACTTCCACCATCTCAGACCCCAGCACTGTGGGTTTCTGGCTGCCACGACAGGGATGGGCCTTCTTCCATGGACGTGAGATGGCCCAAGTTAAAAGAAAAAAGTTGACTCTAGGCGTAAGTTCTTGGAGGCCAAGTTAGTAAATTTGTTTCTTTCACAGAATACATTGTTTCTCTAAAAACCTCTGGAATTGCTCCCAAACCATGTGATTTAATGAAACAAAAGAAATTGGTAGCTAATTCGTTTCTTGGCCTGCTTTTGTCTATCTTGTTCTGTCACGACAGCCTTGCTGAGGTACTGGTACAAACACGTGTACACAAAGGAGCTCCTGCCATTGCGGGGGGGCAGGGAGGATGCCACAGCAAACGGGAAGAGGCCGGTGCCCAGGTGCTGGGATTCTCTCCTGGAGGGACGTAATGCTTCCCATGGGTTAGCAAAAGGGCAAATTTA